TCTTCAGGGATATGTTAAAATTGTTTATAGACGTTTCATTAAAGGGTTCAAATTCTAATTTGGGCAGAATCACATTTTTAGGAATGGCATTACAGTTCAAGACTGTAGTGAGAAATTCGCCGTTAGAATTGATTTTGACGATGGAGCTGGGTAGACGGACTATTTCTACCTCGCATGCCAGAAGAATGGCTTCGGTATTTTTAAGCTCTGACTTAAGCTTGACAACATGTTCAACTCTAGGAGGGACTAAGATGATATTTTGAACTTGGGAATTCTCTTTGAAATTAGAAGTTTGGAGATTTCCTTTGAAATCAGAAGTTTGGGTATTTTCTTCATCACCTACTTTGAAAAGAGGGATGGTTTTGAATTTTGTGATTAACTGGCGATTTTTCAAATCGATAATGCAATCGTAGTGCTCGAGGAAATCTGAACCAAGAAGGCCATCGAAAGCAATATCTAAATCGTGAATATAAATTTTGTGGTAATCGTTGAGAGCAAAGGGAACTAAAACTGCTTCTGTGATAAAAAAATTTTCGTCCGTAATACCTCGAAAGGAGATATTTTCGGCAACACGTTTCGTGTAATTTTGGCAGGTGTTTCGCTTGAAGATGGAACAACCGGCACCACTGTCAATAAGGATTTTGAATTTTCCTGTCGCGTCATTGATGTAGTATAAGTTGTTTGGGCTGACGGAGAGAATTTCCGACGGGACTATAATATGTTTATCTAAACGAACATTTGGTCGGGAGTTGACATTGTGTGAGGGTCTTTGACATTGAGCTTTTGCAAGCTCGCAATCATATGATCGGAATCGTCGTTGGGCTTCACAGGCGGTTCTTCTTTCGGAGAACGTTCGCGAAAATCCTGATACTGCATGTTATAATCGGCGGTATCATCGTATTCGTAACAGAAATCGTTATTGCTACCAGGGTCAGGGAATTCGTCATACTGCGAGGGGGTGTAAGCAGGGTATTGGGTTTCTATACCATACTCGCTGGCATAAATTGTATTGTAAAGGTCGGGTTCAGAGTACTCGGAATATTCGTTGCAATCTGGGGCTACGTAGTTGATTCGATTTGTGGAATTGCTTGGTCGGAAGCTTCTTTGGAAGTTAGGGTTCTGGAAGCTCGGATTCTGTTGTATAACAGAAGGTCTTGGTACATTCGTATTAGGGACATTTGGCCTAATAACAGAGGGTCTGTGATGGTACTGACTGGAACTGGGGGGCCTATTGTTTTGTGTTGGAGGGTTAGGGTTAGTTCGAGGCGAAAATGATTGGGGCTGGAAAACTGGTCTCGGAATATTATGTGAGAGCTGTTGTCTTCGCTGGCACTCATTTGCTAAATGTCCTGGTCGGTGGCAGAAATTGCACACTCTCGGACATGGTTTCTTAATGGAAGAATTTTGATTAGAGTTAGGAGCTCTAGAAAATGTTTGTCTTTCAAGATATGATAATTGTAGTTCGCGCTTGATAAAAGCGACTGCAGTAAGGATATCTGTTGGGTGACCTGATCTTACAATCGGGCCAATTTTGGAATCTAGTCCTGTAAGGAGACAGTTTAGAGTCATGGTCTCTATCGATGAACTTTGAGCAGCTTTCTGCTCTCGGTTCATGTTTTGTCGATTGACGGCTGAATGCATCTTTGCCGCATGAGTTTGAAGTCTTGAGGCAAAGGTTAGTGGGGATTCGTTTGGTAGTTGACGCATATGCTGCAGACCAGCAATTAAGGATGTAAGATCTCGAAGATCTTCGAAATGTGTTTCAAGGAGAGAGCGTATGTCTTCCCATGTCAAAGGGTTACGGGAATTGACGAGTCCTGCTGCTCGTCCGCGCAGTTCGTTTTTTATATGTAGGACGACGAGGAGACGCTGTTCCTCGACAGCCATTTGGTGCGCTGTTCTACATGCGTTGATAAAAGTCGAAAGCAATATCGGGTTGCCATCGTATTCAGGGACGATTGAAAATATTTCGGACAGTCTATAGGGCTCGATGTTTGCATGAGCGTTATCAAGAACTTCAGGTGCTTGGTAATCATCTGATCCGGGCTCTGACATGGTGATTGGAAATATGTTTCAGGAATTCGACAATAGTACGCAAAATATACGAATAAATATGGGAAAATACGTAAAAGTTATAGAAAATACGTAAAAGGTCGTAAGTAAATGTGAAAAATATAGAAAATGTTGCGCAAAATATGAAAATCACTCAATAAATACGCAAAAATATAGAAAAATACAGAGATAATTGCAAACGATAGTAGATTCAATTGTACGTTACCGGTGGTACATCAGGAGGCAGTCGTGTTCTCCAGAGGAGGCTCTCGGATCTCTTTCGATGTTTCCAAGTAGACTCTCTGCAGTTGGGTGGCTGCTGCTCGCTGTGCCCTTTTCTTTCTTCTTTTGCTTCTTCTTCTAAGTCGTTTTCTTTCTTCTTATTTCTTCTTGTTACTTGTAGGCTCGTGGTCCTTTGTAGCTCGAAGGATCGACATCCACCACACTAGTGAGCGTTCGCGTGTTCTAATGCGTTGAAGCTATCCCACTTCTCTGACACCAATTGTTATATCATTTAAATTCAACTTTACTTTTTTTAAAAATTTATTTGAGGACAGTAGCTACTGTCCGTTACAAACGTTTACAATTACTTGACTTGACGGAGTCTAACCGGGTATTGAACAACAATGAAATGGGCGCAAGGCCTATTTATACTATTGGTGTGCTTACAAAGCACTTCTAGAAAATAAAGCGTAAACAACGAGTTAGCGAGAAGTCGTTATCTGTTGCTGAGCTAGCGTCTGGTGCAACATTGTATGGAATAGTAAGTCCATTGTTTTGAGTGCATATAACATACATATTTTTTCTTAAAAGGGATAAGATCCAGAACAAGGATGTCCATAGCCAGGGCCGCCAGATTGTTTATAATGTTTTTAAATTCATAAGCCGTGAAAAGGAGGCAGGGGAAGTCATTTTACCTCTAAATCCGCTGGTGAATCGAGTAGCAGAGGCCACAGGTGTATCACACAATACCGTGAAACGCATTGTGAAAGAAGGTTCGATCAAACCCACAGGCAGTAAATTTGTAACACCTAGAAAAACTGTTTCCAAGCCAAGTCCGAAATCAACAGTGGACAGGTTTGATGCAGAGATAAGGGAAATAATTTATTTTGTCCATATTCATGAGCGGCGGCCTACCATAAAAGCCGTTCATGAAGCTGCAAAAAATGATGGAGTAAACCTTGCGGGGAAAATCGGCTCCTTCAGAAAAAATGTCCATAAATTAGTTTTTCGGTGGAAAAAAGTGGAAGATAATAGGGAACTATTGATTGAAAAATAAAACATTCGCTTAAAACGAATTGAGTTTTTGAGGTAATTGAACAAATACAAGGAAGAAGGTATGTTATACGTTTTCAGTCCATTCAGCAATATCGATGTCTATAAAAAATTGTCGTAAACCTTAATAGATGAGCTATACTTTATATTTGAAATTTTTTTATTGGACATGTGAACAAGAAAATATAAAATTCAATCGTTAAGGTACATGAACGACAGCAAGAATTAGTGTATATTGTATATAGGTATAGGTATGCTTTAACAAGAATGTATTGAAAAATGATTTCAGTGAACACCACATGTAGATTTTTGTTTTCAAAATAATTTCCTTGAAGTTTGTAAAATAAACAGTTTGCTCTAGAGGAGACCTTTTCGCGGGAAGGAACATTGTATACAGCGGTGAAACTTACATTCACAGCTCTCATAAAATACAAAAGTCTTGGGGCGATGGGACAAATACGTGTCTGAAAGCACCACTGGTCAAGGGAAAAAGATTAATTGTGTTACATTGTGGGGGAAAAAGGGCTTTGTACCAAATGCAGAACTTCTCTTCAAATCAGGTTTGAAAAGTGGTGACTACCACGATGATATGAACCATAAAAACTACTTGAGATGGGTTGAAGAAAAATTAATTTATGTTGTATCACCATGCCAAATTATTTAATAAATAGATGTGTGACAAAAATTACCGAAATACTTTGACTGGCCTACAGCGGACCTAGAATCAGTTATGTTTTTACACCCATACCAGTAGCTTTTGGCATGTATAGGAGGTCCTTTCTCCCATGCCTTCCTTTCTGTCACTATTGTTTGATAGTTTTTAGCGAAATTGTTTACTAGAACAGTTGTGTCCGTGGGAATTGCCAATATAGGATCTGCCTTCATCTCTGCCTGCAGTTTTTGATGCTCTTTTCCGTGCTGCCGACTGATCGGTGATTGGCCTTGAGTTAGTCTATGATCCACGCAAAGAGCATTACCCTGAATAAATATGTGTAATGGTGTTAGGTCAAGAAGGATCTCCAACGCTGCAGTGGGAGTGGTATGAATGGTCCCCGTGGCGCTCAATCAAGCTAGCCTCACCACTCCCGATTGTGTAGTCTTTGTCCATCATCTCACTGATTCATAGGTTATCATGGGTCTCACCACCCTCGTGTATAACCACATGATTATTTTTGTTACTTCACTAACAACATAAGATCATCTGCACCAGAACACTTTTTTAACCATAACAATAAAAAAAATTATAAATAAATAAAAAATATATAAATATAAGTCAAAAACACCTGTATATGAAAAAGCAATAAGTTAGTAACATCAACAAATCAAAAAGTCCAAGTTGTGTTAAGGCATACAAAACAACCTTCGAAGTATCCCAACTTATATATTTTCAAGTTAGTTTGTGTGGCTCATTCAGAATTATTACTTAACATATTAGATAGATTTTCATTCAGTCTGAAAAATGTTAATAATTAATGGAATAGAACCAGAAGAAAGGCCGAAAGCACAACCAGAATCAGCATCTTGAACGATGAACTATTAAAAAATTCACCAGTGTTCAAATCCCATATGTTTTGTGCTTGGTACTTTAACAGCATGCAATAATTTTAACAATGCTCACTTTTAACAACGAGATAACTGAGAAACCTACACAAAAAGACTGAACTTTGGTAGATAAACAGAAATTTTATTAGCGCACGATAAAACGAAACATACTTTTATAATAGCATTTTATTCCTCAAGATACAGTGATCTATTTTATATAATGGTTCAAATATCATACGACATGGTTGGACATAGTTTTCGTAAAAATGTGGTACATTTCAATTCTTCGAAATGATATATTATCGGTCTAACGAGAGAATGCAGCAATATGGTCGAATTACAAAGGTTCTTGGGCTTGCAATTTGAAAAACATTTATTGGAAATGTTACTGCCCGCACAAAAAGCATTCCTACGCGACATACTGATAAAACTATTGCATAATTTTTAATTTCAATTCAAGAGGAAGCTATAGAAGTATTCTAAAGTCAGGAACATGCTAATAGTCTCAAAAGAGGTTTTGAGCTATCTCGTGTGACAACAGTGTAGGGTAAACAGTACTTGAATGGGTAATGCCGATCGAAGTGCTGTTAGTGGCCGATGTTTTGGTACTAAATACCTCACAGACGACATCGGCACACCCTCCGGTTTCGCGGCGTTCCTCACCGTTTTGTGCATTGCATTCCCATGCTAGGCCAATAATATGTTTATCGACGTTCTAAATAATTGAAATATGATAAAATTTGAAATACACATTTCACATCAGTGATAAAGCAGCTTGGCATCTTCTATATGTAGATTCTTATTTAAGGGTTTTTCACAAATTCTTGGCATAGAACAATTATCTAAAACATATACCACTGTACTGCTTGCTGTATCTTTATACAAGAAGTTCAACAAAAACTGTGTATGGACGTACGTAAAGGTCGTAGGAAACTTTACTGACTATTCCTATTCCCATATTACTATTGCTTTTCATGAAAATATCCCAAGTCATTTTAAAAAATATGATCTGAAAAGGATGTATGATATCACATGACACGTTATCTAGTGAGTGGCATGTATCCATCATGCCTACTTTAGTGGATGCAGAATTTCAATGAGTCTTAACATATTTATTCTCATACGACCAATTCTTAGATTCATTCCACTCGGTAGTTTGCAAGTCACGCCATATGCCATGTCAGTTTTCTGAGTGTCCTGTCTAAGAATTTCAAAATTAAACGTCTTCCATGATCTGATGAAAGAATAACATACTACTAACAACTTTTAAAATGCGGACGCCACACAACGTTGCTAATCGTTTATAAAAAATATACTGGGTGTTTCAAATTCGATTCTCACCACTGAGATCTCGAAAATGGTAAGAAATACGAAGTCAGTTAAATGGAGGCAAAGTTGAGCATTTAAGTACCTAATTAGTAAAATGACTCTTAAAAAACTTCGCAATTCAGAGTATTTCCGGAGATAGACAAAAAAAAAACGAATTTCACTAAAATCGTTTTCATTTGGCCCGACTTCATGTCAAGCCTTTGTTATATCTAAAAGTGGCGAGTATACGAGGAAAAAATATGTATTTTAAATTTGTGACTTGTATATAGGACAAAGTGAGGACCGAACGAGGTCCTAACATAACGAGGTCCGAATATTGAAATACAACAAACAAAGTGAGGACCTTTCAGGATATATTCTCACTTAGCGCATACAATGAGGACCGTACAAGGTTGCCTATGTCAACTGGTTTTTCTCAGTTTCGCCTTTTTTTGGTACGTAGCCACAGACGTAGCTGTGATGCCGGCAATATATATATATATATATATATATATATATATATATATATATATATATATATAGACAGAGAGAGAGAGAGGGTTGTTGACCGTTTCTGTAGCTTGAATAAATTTCGTGAGCACCTGTGAAATGTGGTCCACTCAGGAGCGTGAAAAATCCCACCATGCAACATTGAAATTACGTCAAGTAGGTTGACTCACTCTAGGAATAACGTGATTGGGCGAATTAGTATATATTTCGTGAGCGTCTGCGAAATCTGATCCATGCAGGTGAGTGAAACTTCCCAACTTGCAATATTAAAATAACGTCCAGTAGATTGACTCGTTCTGGAATCACGATACTGAGCGGACTAGGATATATTTCGTCAGTGTCTGCGAAAAGTGGTCCATGCAGGAGTGTGAAACACCCTAGCAAGCAGCATTAAAATGACGTTAAGTAGGCAGACTCATTCAAGGAATAACGTAAATAGGCGGATAAGGTTACACTTCGTGAGTGTCTGTGAAATGTGGTCCACGCAAGAGTGTGAAACACCCCACCATGCAGCATTAAAATTATGTCAAGTAGGTTGACTCATTCAGAGAATAACGATAGTTGTCGGATTAGGATTCATTTCGCGATTGTCTGCGAAATGTGGTCTATGCGGGAGAGTGAAACACTCCAACATGCAACAATAAATGACGTCAAGTAGATTGACTCGTCAAGAAAATGACGTTATTAGGTGAAACAATGTCAGAAACGGTACGAGGCTGGTACCTCAGTAAGATGAAAGCCTTAAGCGATTAAATGACCTTAATTGAGAAGCTTTACGGCATACAGTTAATCTAGATAGCTTTGAAACTGCAAGTGATGATAGTATACCTGTAGGGTTACTGTAGCTTTTTCAATGGGAAGAGTTTGGAGGAAGAAATTTTCATGTGAGATCTGAAGAATAATGGTTCTAGCGTTAAGGTTTAGAAACCGGAATTACTTGGAAGGTAGCACTTGTTAATTGAGTAAGTGCTTCAGAGAAATTTTTCATATAAGATCAGAGAAGTACAGCCAAGTCTTGAGACTGCAAGTATTGACTTTAAATCTAGATGGTAGCACCTTCCCAATTGGGTTATTATCGATTAAAAAACTAGAAACGATGGTTTACAATGTTTCCACTGTTAGCTATAAACTTTTTTCTTTGCCTTAGGTAGATGATTATCAAAAAAGCAGTTTCGTGTGAGAAATTTAAGGTATACGATCTAGTGAGAATATTTTGAGACTTGTGCATGATAGATAGGGACTACTTTTGTCGAATTTTGATATAAGGGTGATTTACTTCTTACATTCGAGAGATACAGATTTGCGAGATAATTTTAAATGTTTAAGTGCAACCAAAACTTGAAGAATCCAATATGATGTTATGGTAGGCATGCAAAGCTTCAGTTCCCAATATATCCTTTTGAAAACGAGGATATGCGTGGCATCACTGTGATATATTATAAGTGGATATTAATTACCTAATGGTTTCTTATTTGGAGGTGAATCTGAAGGTCCTTCCAAGGGTTTTGCACGTTCTGCATAGTCTCCAGTTACAAGACTTTATTCACAAGTCAGATATTTATGTTCCATAAGAGTACAGGTGGTAATATTTATCTTGTTATATCAAATCCACTTTCTACGAGTGGTTTTTGTTTAGTAGAAAGAAGTAGCAATAGTTGTTTGATACTATTGCGTACAGAAAAAAGTCAAGTAATAGTAGGAACAGGTGTAAAGGGCAAATAAGATTTGTAGCGTGTCAGGTTTTTTTGTAGTAGCAATTCTAACATAGAACTCAAATGCAGTGAATGTTAACATAGAAAGTGAACTTACAAATCGAGGTTAATATGAATAACTGCACAAATTCAGCGGAGGCAATACACATAAATTTATCTGATTCGATTAGTGTAATTTCTCACAAAGTTTTATTTAAATACAGTTGATTCATTTCTAATATCTTAAATCCTGCCTCACATCGAAACTTGTTATGTTCACTCTGCAAACTTTTTTCAATTTTTTCATGTTACTGAATCTTTTGGTGGTCAAATATAAAATATATTGAAATCTCGAAACTGGATACTACAGACCAAAATATGTCAATACCTTAGTCCAAAAGTTGATAGTTTGCGGGAAACACGGTGTCAAAGTTACAATTTTATTTTCTATTTTTCCTTATTGCTTGAGAAGTATTTCAGGTTTTGGCATAAAGCTCGGTATAGGCAGGTTTTCTAGTTTGAGAAACAAGAATCCGTTATTTTTTATGGCCAAACTTCTAAAGGTTACCAGTTACAGCACTATTTCGGTAAATAACTTATTATAGCTTCTTTGTGCTACCCTGTATATATATTTCGACAACAAAAAAGTTTTACTTGTTAGAAGTGTCTAAAGCTAATAGTTTTCGAGATATTTGTTTTTAAAAGTTCCACTGTATTATTTGTACCATGATGATAAAACATTTTTATAACATAATAATCAAGTTCCTTTGTTGTTATATTTTCGAATTTTAATTTTTGCTCATACAGGGTGGTCAAAAACGCGAATTGTACTTTTTCTCAAAAATTTCAAATGCATCACCCTGTATATGCAAGCTTGGATTCAATTTTTTATAAGCCTTTTTTTGGTATAAGGTGATACCATCAATTAGATCGAAGGAGGCGAATCTAGTAATAGAATATAGACTGAATACTTTGGTTATAAACAAGCAATGCATCGGTAATTAAATCTGAAGTTAGTACAGTAGGCGATTTTAACAATGTGGAATGGAATCGTTCACTAGACGAACAAGAAGAGGGGTTGGCTGTAGTACTAATATGCAATTTAATAGCATGGGCTAGACAATAATCGTTAATTACGGCTGAATTTAATTCACCTGAATCAGCAGTGATTTCTCTCGGAAAATTGTGGTGGGAGAAATAATGTTTAAGTTTTTTCAAAACCTCGATGCTGTTACGAGACTGAATTAGATATGCTTGAGCATAACGACTAAAAGAATCAATAACAGTGAGAAATTGGAATTCTATTTTGTAAACATCGACAAAGATGTGTTCGAATGGACTTTTGGCTAAGAATGGGCCTTGTTGTTCAACAACTGGAGGGTGACGTTCGTATTTGCTCAAGAGACATAGATCGCATCTATTGATGTAGTCGGAAATTAGGCGTCTAAGGTTAGGAGTGAAAATCATTTTTCTGAAATGTTCGTGGGTTTCGTTGATTCCATTGTGCATCTGGGAGTGATATAAAGAAATTTCAGTGAGGGCCTTATCTTTGTCTAAATACAGGGGCTTATATGCGGCTTTAGTTAAAGTGATTTGTTTGTTAAAAAAATAATTGGTTAAAACGCGATTAAGTTCAATCATAATAGTATGATCTGTGTAGAAGATTCCATAATGGGTATTGGGGCGACAATAATCTTTTAGCAAAAGCAAGAGGTGAGTATGTTCACGTCCGCGTACTATGGTACATCTGATAGTATTATTCGGGAGAGTCGTAACGTCGAATACTTTACCATAAATTATGTCGATACGATGCTTAAAATGATAATAGTTCTTATCTTCGGAAAATTTTATGTTGTTAACGGGATTTTCAGGCGATGAATGAAGCGTGTGCGTGGAGCGCGCGTCGGTGACATCATAGTTAGGTGTGTGAAGAATTTCTTGAAGTTCATCATCGCTGAGCGTCGGGTTTTCGGCGACATGCGGTAATGTAGATAAGAGATCGTCGCTGTCATCGACGGCGTTGATTTCTACACGACTGAGCGCGTCGGCTACATAATTCCCTTTGCCTTTTCTGTATCGGATATCGAAATCAAATTCCTCAAGTTTTAATTTCCAACGGATTAAGCGTTGATTGGGCTCTTTGAGTCCATGGTTTATGATCGGTTTCTATAACAAATTTATGTCCGAAAAGATAGGGACGGAAATGTCTACACGAGTCGATGATAGCTAGACATTCTTTTTCGATTTTGCTGTAGTTACGTTCAGCACTATTGAGGGTTCTAGAATGAAACGCGATGGGCTTATCGTTTTATGACAACACACTTCCTATTGCGACGTTACTGGCATCGGTAGTCAATACAAATTGTTTGGAAAAGTCTGGGTAAGATAAGATGGGTGGATTACAAAGAGTTCGTTTAATGATATCGAAAGCTTGGAGATATTCATGTTTATTGGGATTGATGTTCTCACCTTCACGTAAAAGTTTGGTAAATGCCTTGGTAATTTTGGCAAAATCCTTTAAACCTAAGAAAGATTGAATTTCCTTAATAGTTTTCGGAATAGGGAAATGCTCTATAGCCTTTATTTTTTCTGGATTCGGCAAAATACCATTAGGAGTAATAATGCGGCCAAGGAAAAGGACATCTTTCCATAAAAATTCAGTCTTATCGAGATGAATACGAAGTTCGTACTTTATGAGAGTCTCAAAAATTAGTTTAAGATGATATGTGTGTTTTTCAAGGGACTTTGAGAAAATGATAATATCATCTAAGTAGACGAAACAGCATTTACCTACGTAGGGAAGCAGAACAGAGTTCATCATCCTTTGGAAGGTCGCTGGCGCATTCTTTAGTCCGAACGGCATACGGATATACTCATAATGCCCGTTCTCGATGGTAAAAGCGGTTTTTTCAACTGATTTGGGGTCCATCGGTATCTGGTGGAACTCTTGGGCGAGATCTAACGTGGAAAAATACTTGGCTTTGCCCAAATTTTCAAGAATTTCCTCGGTTTTGGGTAACGGATATTTGTCTTCTATTGTAATTTCATTTAGCTTGCAGAAATCTATGACCATGCGGTACTTTGTTTTGCCGGAAGCATCAGGCTTCTTGTTTACAATCCACACTAGGGAGCTATAGGGGCTGATACTTGGACGTATAACTTCATCTTGGAGCAAATTATTTACTTGATTCTGCATTTCTTTTTTGAGATGGTACGGGTATCGGTAGGACTTTACAAAAATAAGGTCATCATGCTGAGTGCGAATTTTGTGAGAAGTTACATTACAAGGCTTAAGCTTTTCATTCGGCTTTAAGAAAGCTTGAGGATAATTTTGACAAAGTCCTATAATTTTAGATTTTTCCAAGGAATTCATATACTTTATTAGTGGGGAACTGAAAAGGTTGAATATCGAATTCATCTACAGACATGGCTTGAACATTGTTAATTTCTAATAAGGATAGATCTTCGGGATATAAGATTTCAAAATATTGGACTTTACATAAACACGCTGGGTAAAATTCATTAGAGTCAAGGTACTTGATAGGGGGAACTGAGACAGATCCATATGAGATATCTGCATATAAAGTAGGTTTCTCGTAAATTTTATTCGGTTCACGAGTTGGGATTCTTCCGGTACGACAAAGTATATGAATATTACCTAGTTGTAATTTATTTTTCGAAATATCAAAGGTACAGTTTAGTTTTTGAAGATAGTAGTAACCTAATAGACAATCAAAGGTGTCATGCCAATTCACTAAAAGAAATTCTATTTCTGACTGAATATCTAATTCGTAAAAAATGGGGATACGACAGGCATACATTCCATTTTTGCGATCCTTACAAGCTGGGGCTGTCTATTGACAGAAGTGGTGGACATAGGAGTTGGACCCTGAATCTGACTTACTACAAAATTTGAACTGGGTCGATTGAAATTAGATTGATTAGGCCTAAAGGCAAGAATATTCGTGGGCAGACGAGGGGCGTTATTTATATTGGGTCGCGGCATGTTGGTGGGACCGGTAGGGAATCTACTTGATTGCGATAATTGGCTAGTAAAACGCGAACTTTGTGGAGTCGAATATAGAAAATTTCTGTTATGCTGATATGGGAGTCATATATTCTGTTGCGGATTCATGGGTCTCACAACCTGCTTGGGTTTGGAGTAATTATTCATCAAGTGCTTTTTGTATTCACGTTGTGACTGCAAATTGTCATATTTTTGACAAAGTTGGAGGCACTGTTCGAGACTAGACGGATTATGGAATGAGAGGTAATCAGCATGAGGGTTTTTAAGGCCAGTAAGAAATTAATTAAGCGCTTGGCGGTTGTACATAGAAATTAAGTGAGGTGCAGCATCAGGAAGTTCAATATAAGCGTGATTTCTAAGGTTACTAAGCTTTTCTTGAATTTCCTGATGGAATTCTACTATAGTTTGTTGGGGTTTTTGAAAACAGGTTTGTAAATAAGCTAATAAATTTTCTTCACTCCTGGTATCCGAGTAAAGTTCTGACCAATTTTGAGGATTGTGGATATACAGGGTTATCCAAATTAAGTGTCCACCATTGGTAACTTTGTTATTAGTAAAAATACAAAGTTGTTTAAATTAGCAAACTAGTAGCATTTTTAACGCTGGTAAAAATGAGAAATAAAAAAAAACAATTGAGAGTCGTTATTTTGATTTTTTTCAGTAAAATAACATTTTTTTAAATGGAAACCCCTGTATATTATATTTTTTTCTGTTAAAGCATCAAATTTTAAACAAAAAAGTTCATAATGACTTTTCCGCTAAAGTCAAAAATAAAGTCAAAATAACGATAAATATTTTTAATTATTTGCAGTATTATAATATTAAGACGGCTATGAAAACAACATGGCGTTCGCGATTTGACAGCATTAAGATAAGCGACAAATTGTTAAACTGGACATACTCGCAACTAGAAGGCTTTGGAAAACAATGATAAAATCAAATAATGTCAAACATTAGTGTAAATACTTGTTTATAAGCTTTATTGTGTCATTAATTTAAAGAAAAATGTTCTCCCATGAAGAAAAGTGTGATATGTTAGAATGCTATTTAGTGTGCAGAAAATCCTCCTTGAGAGCAAGAGTGAACAGTGAATTATATCCCGCTCGCATTCAACCGTATGAACGATATTTTCTGAGACTTTATCGAAAATTTAGGGGCAACGAAAATGTTTTTGCTAAAACAAGGGCAAAAAAAGAATTCATAATAAGCGAGGCCACGGAAATTGCAGTTATTGGATATTTTGAAGCTTATCGTGAGAATTCAATAGCAGATATTCTCAAGGATTCTAATTTCAGTTATGGTACTGTTCAAAGGATTTTAAAAAAATACAAATTTATTCCGTATAAGTACCGACCAGTTCAAACGCTTTTGGCAGGGGATCCAGAGAGAAGACTTGTTTTTTGCCATTGGTATCTTAGCTTCTGTCGCCAAAATGTAAATAACTTTCGTTACCTTTTATGGACAAATGAATCAAATTTTTCAAATTCTGGAATGTTTAATAGAAAAAACCACCATTATTGGTCAAGAGAAAATCTTTTGTTAGTACATCCAAGAGGCCCACAAATCCGTTTCAGTTTCAACGTTTGGTGCGGTATAATTGGTTCAAAAATTGTTGGCCCGTTCTTTTATGAGGGAACCCTAACTGGTGAAAGATATGTGGAATTTATGTCAGAAATTCTGAGTAATTTCTTAGACGAATTGGATCTTATAAGTAGACATCATCTGCATTTTCAGCAAGATGGCGCACCTGCCCACAACTCCAGAGGTACTTATCATTTTCTAAGTACTACTTTTAATGATCAGTGGATAGGAACAAATGGCCCAATACAGTGGCCTCCCAGATCACCAGATCTAAACCCACTTGATTACTTCTTGTGGGGTTACTTAAAGAACCAAATTTACAAGCGAAGGTACGATAACCTTGACGCGTTAAAGACTGCAGTTAGGGAAAAGATAACCCAGATAGATGGTAGGACCATACTTAAGACAGTTCGAGCAGTTGAAAAACGTGCCAAAAAATGTATTGAAGAACAAGGTGGTGTTTTCGAGCATCTTCTTTAAAAAAAATTGTTATTGTATTTTGTAAGATTATAAGTTGATGTTGAAAATAAAGTTTGTCGATACAATTTAATTGTTTCAGATTGGAGGCCATAACTTCAACAATTTGTAACCTAGGAGAAAAGTTATTGTAAGCTTTTTTGTTTAAAATTTGATGCTTTAACAGAAAAAAATATAATATACAGGGGTTTCCATTTAAAAAAATGTTATTTTACTGAAAAAAATCAAAATAACGACTCTCAATTGTTTTTTTTATTTCTCATTTTTACCAGCGTTAAAAATGCTACTAGTTTGCTAATTCAAACAACTTTGTATTTTCACTAATAACAAAGTTACTAATGGTGGACACTTAATTTGGATAACCCTGTATAGCAAGTTTGCATCTTTTATGTGAGTCTGTACGTAAGCAAACGCTTGTGTAGCAAATGCAGTATTAGCAAAATGTCTAAGAAAGTCTTCTGCTTTATTCAGAAATCTAGCTAGGTCTGATGAACCTCTAGAAAATATCGGAATAGTATTTTTCATCAAATCGAAAGTCATTCTAAGATCAGCATTATTATTAGTGGCCATATTTACTGGTTCAGAAACTTCTAAGTCTTTGTGGAAATCTTATACAGAATTTTGTTGTACTGAAGGTGGAGTGACACTAGGGTATAGTCTAAAGCGTCTGTCAGTCATAAAAATACAGAAATATACTTAAAACTAGAAATAATATGAGTATAATAGGTAGATAATTAATTCAAAATTTATTAATTGATTGAAATTTGTTTCAAAAATAGAATGGCAAATGGTTTTGAATTATCACAACGTGAAATGGTTCAAAACTTACTGCGCAAAAAAGGATCTGGAATCTTCGCAACCTTAATGGCTCTGCGAATTTTCCGTAGATTCAGCCTACTGGGGTGAACTCGATACCTCGTCTCGTAGTACTGCAGAACGGCTCTATGTTGAGTTAGCCTGATACTATTCGAGCTTTTTCTCGGCTAGTTTTGATTTCGTCTTCTCAGGCTCGTGGATTGAACTTAAAACTTGAAAGTTACCTCCGGATGTAGACTTGCAGCTATATCTTGCCTTGAATCTCCCAATTAGCACCTTACTGTTGCAGCGCACAATCTTCACTTTGGATGTGATGTGTGAAAATTCTTACCGTACTTGGCACCGGCATAGAATTCACTTTCCACTAGCGTGAAGGGTTCAATCCTGTTTGCAGCGCCAAATAAGTTTTTTGTTTAAAAAAACTTCTTTTTAAAATCTCTAATAAGATTTTATTCACCTAAGGACGTACAGGACTCAAAGACGTACAGAAATCGAATTGTTCTACCATCATATTTTACAGAAGGTATTCCTATCAAGATACAAAGGAATGCTATTTTTTAGCTTAGAGTACAAACAAAAACATATCTCACAATTTCTCAGATAAAGGACGTATAGCGTTAAGTGGGGCATGCTAGCATGTCTACGGCAGTAAGAGGGGTAGCTGGTCTCTTAACTTGATATGTAGGTTGAAATTGGGACCGTCTATACGGAGTAAGTAAAACGATTACTGATCTATTTTTAATTTGTTTTTAGCTCATGATGATGACAGCACAATCTGTCGAAAGTATATATATATATACTCGTATATATATATAGCGTTAAGTGGGGCACGCTAGCATGTCTACGGCATTAAGAGGGGTAGCTGGTCTCTTAACTTGATATGTAGGTCGAAATTGGGACACCCTGTATAATGGCCATATATACGGAGTAAGATTTCTGATCTATTTTTAATTTGTTTCTAGCTCCTGATGATGACAGAATAGTCTGTCGAAAGCTTGAGTATTGTAAGTCAAAAGTGTACACTTAGCATAATTTGTCGATATCCCCAAAGACTATATATATATATATATACAGGGTGACTTCGAAGTTGAGTCATTTATTTTAACAGTGAGTAGACCTGATCAAAAGAAATGTTTTTTCCTTTACCATTTTTCTGGTAAAATTAAAGTAATAAAGTTATAGCCCTTTGGAAGTTTGAGTACCGCCCTGTCTCAATAATAATATTATGTGCTCGTGTTTGGCAACAACGGATATAATCCGCCTTATCGGTTCATCGCATCGGAAACAAAAAAGCGAAAGAATTTGGAACGATGTTTTTACAATTACAATTACAATTTAAAACGAAATAAAAAATGACACAAGTTTATGCGGATCGGTTTCCCAATCGAGTGCAACCAACCCCTCGTGCCTTTGTTAATGTAGTACAACGGGCTCGTGAATCAGGTCACTTAAGACCTCACAGGGGACGGCATGCCGGTGCTCCAAGACCTCACGATCAAATACAGGTCCGCACTGAAATACCTGTCGGGAAGATACTTTATAAAACAAGGTAAAATTTTTTTTTTAATTTTTTTTTTATTTTTACACACATATTTTGGTTTATCTTCCTTCTACAATCATTATCTGAAAATTAAGGACTCAACTTCAAAGTCATAAATAAATTGGGTTCAATCGACTTCGTATCTTTAATCGCTTCCGAGATCCCAATGATCAGAGTCGGGTATGAAACACCTGGTATGGACGATTATTTAAAGAAAATGAGTTCTTTTTTATATTCACGTTATGAAAAACGATTAGCCTGGGCGTATGACTTTACTTTTATTAAGCGCTTACATGCGGACCATTTTTACTTGAATTTAAATGTCTGTTGTCATCGTCCCTCATTCCTCTGAGCCAAGTTGCAACCTATGTTCCAAAGTGACACAAAATATGACATCTAGGGTCACATTTATAACCCTCCTTGAGGATTGAGCGCCCTTTGACGAATGATCTATCCATATACGATTAGCAAAAATGTTACGTTTCTCTGCTGTACGTTCAAGGGGGAATCTAACATTTGCATTTATAAGATTTTCGAAATCTACAAAATTTTCCAAACATTCATTTTCTAAGACACTGGAAATCCTGAAAATTCTGAAAAACTCCGTTTATTTTGAAAGCTGAAAATATTGAAAATCTTGAAGATTTCGAAGATTTTGAAGATTCTGGATTATTTTAAAGTTTCGTCAATTTGGAAATTCAGAAAATTCCGATGTCTGAAATTTTTGAAAATTGATAATTTTGGTAGTCGAAATGTGAAATGTCGAGAATCGTGAAATTTTCGAAAATTTTGTAAACTTTATAATTTGGAAACCTGTGTTGACAACTGCTACAGCTTACTGTAAAATGAAAATGTTAAATCTTCCCTGAAGGATTATTGTTTAGAATCCAAGGAGAGATCAATCTCCAAACGGGTTTCAATTTTCAAGGAACATCTATAAATGTGACCTCTAGTGACCCAGTTGCAAAACTGGAAGAAATAAGCCGTAAATTTCTGTTTGTGTCTTTGAGAAAAAATTTATAGGAAAGCTAATACGGAATTTGACGTTTCCTAAAACATATTACGTATCTCAGCGTGGGTATACTAACCAACGACGGTTAATATACAAATGGCAGAACGCTAGCCAGTAACTTTTAAAAACAGTTTAACGCTAGCACAATAACTACGTTACTTAAAAATATATTGTTTAGCGTAACGACAGAATGACCTGTAAACAACAATTTTTATTAACGGAAGAATATGATCAACCATTAGATGTTTATTTCAAACCGGATATTTCCATTCCCATTCCAAATTTTATCCATATTTTTCTTGCATCCATCGGATTATTTTACAATTCGCCCAAATAGGAGATTACGAGCTGCGATATAGGTAGCAATGTGGTTAGGGAGAACAAGGAGAAATTACAACTGACATTTACGCTCAAGTGAGAATTGTCAGCATGTAAAACACTTATTATATTAGGTAGATGTGTTCTATGTGCTTAGAGCTTTGAAAACTATGCGTTTTTGAAAACGTGATTACAGTCCTAGATTCCTGTAATGTTTCTAAAACAAAGTAAAATTGATTGGCCATACATTTGACTAATGTAGCTCCTGAAGCTTATCCTGTGATATTCATGTTCATGGGACTCTATTGTCTGGCCGAATCAATCCACCTACATGACTTTCAAAAATTATTGCTTTTAGAATATTCTACAATTCCCATGACTGAATTATCAAGTTATTGTAGGTTTATATTTGTTACGCTTCGCCATACTCCAATTTTTTTGAACACCTTGTAAACTAGCGTCTACTCCATCACCTAGAAAACTATAAAGCTCAGTTACCTCCGGAAGTTGTCCCAATAGTTATTCGCTCTATTTCCAGGTGCGATTTGGTTATTCAACCACATCTGATTAGCTGGTGGGGGCAACACCGTGTTGTTAGGCAGCTCTTGGTGGTTATTGAGACCAAGATGGTGGACCTGAGGGGCATATGCTGGCACCTGAGCGCGAGAATCGACGAGGTAGGGAAGGGGAGAGGTAGCAGCGTAGTGATTCAGGTTGGGCAACGAGAAAGCAGCTGATACCTGGAAACAAAATCGAATAGTCAGTCAGCTACAGAAATTTTCTTTCGGATCCCGATGAGTATGTTTTTGTATTTCACTAAAAAGATTTATGCATAAAAACACCGTATGCCAAGTATCAATCCCTGGGGAATTATCAGCACGTTGGTCGGAGGTACACTTTTTTGTAACCAGCAAATAATTAGAACTTGCCTTGCCTTTCAAAAACTAATTAGAGCATTACCTTACAATTTTGTCATTAACATTTTGATCCTTCTCAAGTTTCATACGATCACTTTTATAGATTATTACGAAACATCAATACGACGGGAGCCTTTTTTTTCTTTTTATAGCCTGATCTTTTAAAAACCGGGCGGTGGATCATTCGAAAATTTGGAAATACATTTTAATGATCTCAAGGTTGTTTCTTAAACATTTAAATAAATTTGATTATCAAAAATAAAAAACAAATTTAAACTCTTCCGTAAGAGCCTATATAAATGTTAGGAATTTTCTCACGAAACGGTGGATTTCATTCAAACTTCGCGCAAGCATCTGCCTATGCTTCATATAAAAATCTCAAAATGATGTGATGTCATTCCGTGCCTGATTTCGTACGTCGTCTATTCTGAGGAGTATGTAATTACACTGGTCAAACGCATCATAACTGTTGTAAGTGATTTTATTTTGAGAATAATAATAATAATGATAATAAAATCAGGGGCTGAAGCATCGAACGCACACGTGTGGTAAGTGATAAATACATTTTTAATACTTGAGGTGCGACCTGACAGTAGGTGTAAGTAACTTTGGAATACAGATTTCTGTTGCAAAGATTCTAAATTTACGTAACACATTTGCAATATTGAGTTATTGATATACTGCTATGCACTATTAATATCGACCTTACACTAATAATGACAAGTTGAGAATGATCTTGGGATTGTTTCAGAATTAGTGTTATTGGGTGGTTACTAGTGTATTGCTATAGGGTGCATTTCCGTGCATGGATATCAAAATTTCTAACCTAAAAATATTGGTATAAAATAAACTTTTTTTGTTTAAACGAGTACCAAAACCGTTGTATGCAAACTCTTGTAGCTGCAAGACGACCCTGTTTCCTCGGTATCAAATTATCAAGGTTAGTCAAACTAAACGAATGAAATATTCTCTCTCACATTCCTAACCTATAATTTTGATTTTGGATTTTACCCTTAAGAACGCACGATTTTAAAATCCAAAAACAAATGTCAATCAAAGACCATCCAACATAAAAGAACAATGAAACGTATATCTGTTAACAGTTAAATAAGACCCCACAAATTGCATTTAAAATCCAACTAATTGATTTTCATGCAAGACTCCGGCAGTTACAAGATGACAGAGAATCCGCTGTTTTGTTAGTGCACATGCTTCTGATCAACATTTTTCTTAAGATAAGGCTATTTAATGAGTTTAAGCTACTTTAGGAAGCTAAAACTAATTTCCAGCAATTTCTCTTTGCCGCTTTTATTACAAAATTCTAAATTTTTTAACCGATAATTCTGGGTTGAGCTGTTGGCGAGATACAGCCGGCGAACTTTATTATTGGCCCACCCGGTAAATAAGCGCTGTCCACAGAATTTCAACTCCCCATGATAATTTCAAGAGCCGCTTCAATTAGAATCACGTCCCTGGAGTTTCGTAAAGTATCGAAACCAAATTTGGCCTCGAGATCTCTGTGGATGGATTGCAAAACGATCTTGATGGCAAAGATTATAGTCAGTTGACGCTTTCCCAAATCACTTCTCTCAGTTCTTTTAACTATAGTCCCCGGAGCTCTATGCAATGGGTATGATGATTTTACCCAAACGTTGGAGAGAAGTTAAAGGCCTAGATGACTTCTAATTGGTTGAATAAATGTAAGTATACATGTTCTATTTAGTTAACTTTTCATTTAAAAATCTGCAAATCCTCCAATCCAATACTTTTATTTTATGCTGTAATTTACTGACCTGTTGCTGCTGCCGTTGGTGAGACTGATTTGTTTTAGCACCACTACCACTGTATCTGTATAAATTAGCAGATGAGCGTTGTGATTCACTAGGCAGTGATGATGGCATGTGATGTTGGTCCAGAGGTGCTGCAGCTGGTACAGGGTACTGTCCACTTTCTAACCTTTCCTGCAACTGAAAGCAATAAAAATCATCATAAGAAGCACTATGAAATTCAGGTGAAACAAAGCCACTGAATGGAGGATATATTGCTAGCTACTCCGCTCAGGAATAAAAACAATTGTTGCATGAAGCTCAAACGTTTGGAAATAATTGGAGGGTTTAGTATCAAACGACGTTATCTACAATTATATAAAATAGGTGTATCAGTAGGATTATATTTAACATACTCCATATGGTAATCAAGAGTTCTGTCCTTCTTATGACTTCAAAGAACTGTAACTCAATTGTATTCCCTGAACCTAAGATTGGGGTTGAGATATTTTTTTTTAGGAAATGGAGTATGTTGAATCACAGCTGACGTCAACTACAAGCTGTGAACAAAGAAATCTGGCAACGCAGGTGGTAGAGTTACTACCGCCGCGTTGACTGGCTAATCGTGGTCAAAGCACCGAGAAACATAACCTTTTCAGTTTGTGATTTTGGGAATACCAGAGGCCGTAATATAGTGCAAAATTTGTTTTCCATACTTTAACCAGATAATTACCATGAATAATTGTAAAGCCCCAGTCAGATAGCTCTTAGAGTCTAGGAGAATCCACACAACTGTTGGTGAGCCTGGGATATTCATTCTGAAGATTTTCTGTCGCCTTTTCGTCCAGATTTGACGTTTGTCAAAAAAGGTCACATCAACGTCAATCAAATTGATTGGTCAGTAGGTCAATTTGAAGAACTAGTGTTTACACTAAGAATTTTTAATGCATGAGCCGCAAAAAGAAAATTAAAAACGATGAGGACAGCACAATTGATGAAGATAATACCCTGGATAAGCTGAAACCAAATAAGAATAAAAATGGAGATCTAATTAGTGAAGATAATGATCTAAATCTGCTGAAATCTGAGAAAAATAAAAATGAGTAAGATCCAACTTGTGAAAATAATGAGCTGAAGAAAGAAATTGGATACCTGAAAGAAGTTCTTGAGTCAAAAAACACAATCATTTTGGAAAAAGAAAGATATGTTAACCAAATACTAGAAGAAAATAAGCGTTTGCACGAACAATATGAGTCAATCACAAACAACTTTATTATTTTATATTGTCAAGCCTCGAAAAAATCTGTCACAGAATTGGAAACATAGAGGAGAAGACTGATCAGAATAAACTACCAGTAATTACAAAGCGCCTGAAAATATTAATAGTCAGACCTATAGAAAATTAACGAACAACACAGACACAAGAAGACCTTAAGAACAACAAAAAACTTACAAAGTATAGACGTTAAATTATATAGTGTTAAAGGTAACCGAAAATATGGAGGTGGCATTTTAAGATGTCCTAGAAAAATTACAAAACGGAAATTAGAAACTGCATTCAAAATGTAAAACTTTTGAACAAAAGCCACTCAACCCGAAAATAAAAATTGTTGGCTACATATCTAATTTGCCACCAGAAGAAGATGAGATAAATGAAGATATTGTAACTCAAAATCATTTCATTTCCCCTTTTGATTCAAGAATTACCAGTGTTATCCAAAATCAGGTAAAAAATTACTACTCAATGGTTGCTGAAGTTAAACGAAAAATATACAAAACTATTTTAGAAGATAAACAACGGAGACTGTTACTGGGATGTCAAAGCCCTATTGTTTTCGGGAACAATGAAATTACGCAGTGCAAGAAATGCAATAGATTTAACGATACAGCGAAGTTTTGTAGGAATACGGCGAGGATGCTTTAAATGGGGAAAAGAACACGATGGAAGAACTTCTAATGTTGAGTGGCCATCCTGCTCTAACTGCTGCTTCGCTAATCAAACATATAAGAAAAATCATGAAACGAACCATTCTTCTATGGACAAGATATGCCCGAGCTTCAAGTTCATGGGGAAACAATACATGTCCAAGATTAGCTTCTAAATATGAATTCAGAAGATATGAATAAAGATGATGTTTTTCTTTTTATTACATTCCTATGTATAATGACATATCTTTATCACTAGATACTATTCATTCTAAATTGATAACTCTAATACTTCTAATATTATTTTAGGCCACTAAAATGTGAGCTCCCTTGTTCCAAAAATTGTCTGGGGTAAAAGACTACATCACGAATGTTATATAACTGAGACATGGTTTAGTGATTCAATTCCCGATACTATGATACGTGTACCAGATTACACCTTTGTCCGGTGTGGGGATCCTGAGGGGATTAAATAGGTATTTATATACGAAAAGATATATCATATGAGCCTTGGATCTGTCTCAAAATTAAAAAAGCTCCTGTTATATTGGGTGTACTTCATCGAAATTTTTTGTAGATTTACTACATGACACTATAGAGTCTAATATGCAAATTTCTGAACTCATCTATTGTCTTGGAGATATGAACATAGACCTGCTGAAGCCAGCTTGTCCTTCTGCTGAATATTTATCTTCAATGCTAGAAGAACTTGATATGACCCAAATGATAAATAAGCCCACACGAATATCATATGTCTGCTCCTCTCTGCTTGATTTGATCATCACATCTAAACCAGATACAATCGTTTCATCCGAAATCGCTGGACTAGATATTTCTTACCATGAAGTGATCCACTGTAGTTTGAACATCACCAATCCTAAAATTAAACCTGTCCTCTGATAGATTTCAAAATTTTTGATAAAAACTGATTACATTTCGATTTGAGTATCCTTTCTTTAGACTGCATATTCCTTCTTGAAGATGTAGATGACAAAGTATTTTTTTAAATGACAATCTTTTAGTTCTACTAGATAAATATATACCCCTTAAAATTATCAGAATCGTTAAGAAAAATGCTCCATGGTTATAAATAAAGCAAAACAAATGTTTAATGCAACAAAACAACATGTTGATTGGGTATCATACAAAGATCTTCCCAATTCAGTAAATTTTAAAATCATTTAAAAAATAGGTTCGTATTTTGATAATATACATAAGAATAAAGATCAAAGGAGATTGTGGAAAGAATTAAAATCTTTGAATATCAATAACAGAAAGTCATATATTTCGCAACCCAGATGAGATGAACAATGATTTTATAAATTCCATTCCAAATGTACCCAATCCAAATAACTATATGTTAAATTTTTACTGCAACACTAGGATACATAACCACATATTTGAATTTAACTATATTGATGGACCACAAGTATATAGCATTATTAAGAGTTTCAAAAATGGTTGTGCTGGATTTGATGGTATACCAGTTTCCTTCATAAAAATGTGTTCTCGACTTATAATCCCTTACCTATTGAAAATCAAAAATTGTATAATTTCGGATTGTACATTTGCCTCATCATAGAAAAAACCATAGTAACTCCTGTTCATAAGATAGCTAGCCTAGGGGACATAATGACTTTAGACCCATTAGCATTTTACCAGAGCTATCTAGAATTATGTAGAATATTATATAATTTCAACTAAGAGGAACGGTCTGGCTTCAGAAGCGGACGACAACACTCCTTCATATTGTTGATAAAACCTTAGGAGCTATTGATGATGGAGGTATGATGCCACTAGTGTTGCTTGAATTCAGCAATGCATTTGATACAATAGATCTCACGATTTTAATAGGAATATTAAAATTTTGTGGCGCTAATGCTGAGTCAGCGGCGCTGGTGAACTCATATCTTCAAAATCGTAGTCAACAAGTAAGACTTTTTGGCAAACTCTCATGTAACAAAATTGTATCGTCAGGGATGCCTAAGAGATCTATAATTGTCCACTCTTCTTTTGTTTGGTCCCAATCGAGTTCGAGAAACAATCAAAAATAATTCCAGTTGTCACAATTGACAAAGTTCCAATTAAACCATTAGAAGAAGGAAATAACCTTGGGTTAATACTCGATTCAAAATTGCGTTTCCGAAAACAGGTGCTTATGAATAAAAAAAATGCCATCCTCATCGCAAATATAGTTGTAATCTTGGCGGTTACGTCATCAACGCCATATGAAATAAGTAAACAGATCGAATCTCCGTACCATGGGCGGAACACTGCGCAAACTAATTTTCAGCGCATCTGCTACTCTCTCCAGTACACATGAAGTGGGTAACAGGGGACCGTTGTTTTCATTCTCTTCCTGGAAATACTCTAATAAATTTAGCATGAGCTGTCGGCCTTCTCCGTTGATCGTATTTCCGGGCATTGTACAATTTTATATTGAAGATTGATAACAGAACAACTCGAATTGCACGCCGATGTCAAGTGAGTTGTCACTCTGACAAATATGATTGAAGGGCACACATACGTAACGGCAAAGTTTTCGAGACACGCAACTAAAAAACGTATGTCTTTGATCTTACCGAACATACGTTCACACACAGGGGTAGGTAGCATGTGTATGTACACCGAGGGAGATAGAAATATATGTATAAAGGGATACGTGTAGTCTTACTTTATCCCGCCAAGAACGGTGACTACAACTATATTTAAATAACGACACTAAAAAAACGTTATGTGAAAGTCTTGTACTGTCACAATTCTCGTACCTTTCACCTATATTCCACAGCAGTAAGTGTTAGGTTTATTCATGGCATAAGAAAATATGATCACATTTCGGAAAAAAATTTAGAAACTAAATGGATCAATATGAGAAACAGAATCAAAATTTCTGCGATTACCTTATACAGGGTCCGTCAGAAAGAACGCATGTTTTCTAAATGAGTACAGTCAAAATAAGTATGGGAAAATATTTTATTACAATATAAAATTATTTCCTACCTACCTTTATAAAAAAAAATAAATTTCGAACAGAAGTTCACAATATTAATATTAGATCCACTCTCATACCCAAAAAACCACTATATATGAAAAGATTTTCAGCTACCAAATAGCTAAGGAATAAAACATCTCAAAGGAGTTTCTGAGACTGAGGGAACTCCTATATAAGAAGACAATTAAATGTTACATTTTAAAACAACAGCGCTTATATTATTCAATTACACTGATAAACACAGGATTTGTGATATGACAATTTTTGGGTATATCTTATGTAT